TGCTTATCTGGGTGATGATTGCTGGTGAGGAGCTGATCTGGTCTTTTGTTTCCTTTTTATTGTCTCTTTTGATTACTGTGTAGATGTTGTTTATCTCTATGTGCCTTTTGATGGCTATCTTCTCTGAATACCAAGCTTCCAGGAAATCCCTCACATTTTTGGATTTAGCTTGGTCTAAGATGTTGACAGTTTCCCAGGTGAAACTATGGTTATGTCTGTCCATGTGTTGTGAGATTAAGGAGTTTTCATCATGTCTTCTGGATGCGCTCTGCTAGCCTTCTGCCTGTCTGTCCTACATAGTGGTTAACATAACTCTTCATATTTAATATTCCTTGCAATCTTACTAAAGGTTTTCAAACATCTAACCTCTACAAACATCTAATACAACTTCAAACACAGACTAGAATTGCAAGGCTATTAACAACCATCACAAGTTCTTTGAAAAAGAGATTTAGCATTGAGCAATATGATTATTTCTATCTTAAATACCACTACTTCCATCCTTAAGGGCAACAGCCACAGAGCACCAGAATTCAAAAATAAAATATAATCCAGACTATTCATTCTTATCCTGTATAGTCTGCCCAAGGCATTTGGGCCTTCAACTTGAAAAGACCAGATCAATTGATTGATCTCTCTCTTTCTCTCTTACACAGACGCGCAGACAGGGGGAAATAAATTTGTAAAAACATTTTTTTAAAGAAGAGGAAATTCCTGTTTGGAAAGGCATTATATATCAAGATAATGTTGATATGAGTAAGAAAAATCACAAGATTTTAATTATATCGTCAGCTAAATAAACATGCAGATATTTTATATGAATAAAACCACTGGTTTGAAGAAAAATGTATTTTGTTTTAAGATGTTACACATATGTGTAACATTTTACACCTTATAATACATATATTACTTATCCTAGTAAAGGTATTTTATTGTGTGCACAAAAGTGAGAAAACCTCTAAGAAAACTGCAGTTCAAGTTTTCATGTTACATAAAATGTACTATCCAATTAATTTATATCAACATTCTAGTTGATTAAACTATTTTAAAACAATCTTTTTGGATTAACTAATCCAGCCAACTAAATATTTAAATTCTTTTTAGAGTATCAATTCTGAGAAATCTATAGTACATTTGGAATTGCAATGAAAACAGATGAGGCTATACTTCTGTTAAAATAAAGATGATTTTATCCACATTCTTCTGCTATAATAACAGAGTGATAAATCAGCTTTGACAATGTTAGATGTTATAAATTAGAGGTGGACAAGCAATGGCGCAATGGCTGCGTACAGCTCTCATTAACAAAGCCCCAGAGCATTCCCAGTTCACATAAAAACACTATTTTATGATTGCATGATTTCTTCTATTTAAATCTTACAATCCACCCCAAATCAACCAAAACTAGCCTCTTGGGTGATATTATAATGTCACAGATCAAGTCAGTGAGGCCCAAAAATAATTAATAGAAAAAGGATTCCGCCCTCCTCAGTTGCTAGCAACAACGGAATTGGACTAGAAGAATGTCTGTGTACTGCAGGACAATTAAATAAGCAAGTGTGAATAGTGTGATTCTCTGAATAAAAACTCTGCGCTACACTGCACAATAATAACATACTAGATTGAGTTGAACAATGCTGCATCCACCATATGGCTCTCAGGAGCAGTCTTCAAAACCATGACACCAATCTCCCTTCATGGATAGGAGAAAATAATTATGATCGCTACTGTCCTTGATCTTACTTTAAGAATGGCTTAAAAAAAGTTTTTGTGTGTTATTAACAAATGCATGGATACCACAAGAACAATTTTATGAAAAATATTAAAATCACAATTCCAAACGCCATTAATATAATTGGTTCACTGAATAGCAAGGACTTTCATAAGGGCTATTATTTTTGGATAATCAGATCAGAATCAGTGGACCACGCCACTTACTCTTCATAAAATGAGTGTGCCTTAACATGTATCCTATACAGGTAGCATGAAAAAAGATCATGATGAAGCAAACATCTTCATGGTCAGGAGCCCACTCACTTTCCCATCCTGCCCTCACTGGTTGATCCCTGCAGTTACATGAATGAAATCACTTTTTACACAAAAATTATAACTACACCCTCTCCTCATTTAGCATTCCAGTGACTTTGTTGTTAAGCGAAATGGTTGCTAAGTGAACATGTGACTGAGAGAAAGAGAGAGAGATGCTGCAAAGATCACTGGTTGCTGCTGTCTCATTCAAATAAAGTTCTCTTGTACAGGGTCCTGTGCTTGATCCATTCCCCGCTCCCCCTTTTTTTTTGCCTCCTTGCAGGGCGAAGAGATTGCTTAAACAAGCTATCTCTCCCTGAGCTGCTTTTCTCTGCAGTACAAATTTCCCTAAAAAGTGCTAACTGCAAGTGGACAAGCTCAGCTCTTTGACCTTAATTAGTTGATTACAACCCTCATGCTGCTGCCTGAAACTGACCAGACCTTAATCACTTTCACACTGAAGACTTTTGTTGTCAGCAGCAGAAAATTTGGTTGTAAATGTCCGCATAGGTCAGAAAATGAATTATTACCATTTATTGCTATTGTATTTGTGGATGGTTGCTTACTGAGGTAGTTGCTAAATGAGGAGTGGCTGTAATTAATAAAGACAGAAATTAAAATAAGGCTGTAATCCCAAACTTGCGTACTTCAAGGCTATCAAAATCAGTGTGAGTAACTTCACAGAAACTACATTTAAGAGTGCTGATACAAAATATGCCATTATTTCTTTTTTTAAACAGTGAATGTCATGGGATAGTGGGCCATGAAACCAAACTGGGATTGCTCTCTCCCACTCTTTATAGCCCCTGATATGCTCACTAGCACCAGGCTTTTCTCCCCCCCCCCCCCCCCCCCC